GGTTTCAGTAAGAAAATGAAAGAAGAGAACATAGAAGTGGAGAGAGAGAGAGAGAGATCAGAATTAAATTGGTAAGAAGAACAGATTACACTACACTACAGTACATACACTTTGGCCGAGAAGGGCAAGCAAGCACAATTAACACTAACAGGGTGATTGTTATTGCAATATTCTGTTAAAGTTGTTAAGCTCAAATATTTAACGATGCAATAAGGGGATTTCTACGGATATTGTAGTAGAATTCACCATGTGCTTTAAATTAAAAGCCTTTAAAGTTATTAACTTAAGAATTAAGAAGATTCGTCAGAATATTCAAACAGGATGGGTCTTTCTTTGTAATTATTTAACAACAACGAAACTGATTATCTCACTCGCTCGACTTATGATTAAAAAAAAGTCTAAGTAAAAGAAAAAAAAAAGTTAGTATTTTTTTTTTTTGTTCAGTGTTGCAGCAAATAAAATCATTTTCTTTAGAAATTAATTCAAGTATAATGAAGAAAATGCAGTTAACCAAAACAAGTCTTCTTAGTTTTCACTTTTTGAATGTTGGGAGAGATGGGATTGGAGACTTAAAAAAAAGCTATTTATAATTTTATTTTGTTACTTACTTAACGTAAGTATGGCCGGCAAAATAACCATAAACAAGACTTTCCTTTTGTCGCCCGAAGATTATTCTACGTCAAAAACTCTGGCTTCACATTTTCTTTCTTTTTTTAACGGAGGTCATTTACGACAATATGACAGACGTCTACTGCTACTATATGTAATATTTTTCGGCTGAAGACTATTTTTTCATGTGTGAGTGGTTGTTGAATGTTTTTAATTTTATATAAATAATAACAAAAAAAAAGCTTCTATAAACAATGGCAAACGTTCACGGTTAATGCCGATGGTGAATAAGTTTCAGGTTGACGACGAGTTGGTAAGACTAACTGACATAGCTGGTTGAGTCAGTCAAAATTTCGACTAATCAATTTATGACATCAGGCTAAAAAAAAAGAAAGCAAACTTAATTCTTTTCGTAACTTAACTTTTTAGACAAGTGTCTTTTTTACGTACCTGCGTTAAAAATACAATTTTTAAAAAAATGAGACGAATTTTTAAAATTGGGATTAAGAAGTTTACAAAAAAAACTAAAAAAACAAACTGAACACTTAAACTTTTTAAAACAATGAACAAACACTGACCTAAAGTAAAACTTTTTTTAGTTTTACTTTTTGAAAAGATTAAAATCTTAAACTCGGTTATTTTTTTTAATTTTATCATTTTTTTTTTTTTTACAGATGTCAAAAAGAAGGAAACAGTCACCAATATTAAACTCTACACACATTCTCTTTTCTTAATTTACACACAAAAAATAATGGAAGCCAAAACCGTGAAATGAGAATTAATTCACAATTGAATCACTTTAGTTTTAAAACTCAAAAACTAATCCATTTCAACAAGTAAAACCACTTCTAGAAACAAAACATGTCACTTCTTGTTTGTTCAATGATGAAAGTCTCAAGTTTTTTTTAAATGTTTACTTACTTTATGCTAGCTATGCAAACAATCGTTGTTTTTACTAAGCTCTACTAACTAGTTCAGAACAAAGTTCCAAATAATGGTCGGGTAGCCAAGGCTTGAACTCACTAATGATAAACCCGACGATTTCAGGAACCACGCGAAGGCACCCTTATTTATTGACTAAAAAAAATGTACGTATTATTGACACAAGACAAACAAGACCAATACAGTGTCCGTGGTAGGGACTGAACTCAGTAACGACATAGAAGACCAGCATTCTGTCTATAATTACACTACACAATGAAGCACTCGATTTTGTACACAGTTATGTCACGGATATTGCAAGAAAAACAAGCAATGTGTACGACGCTTATTATTGCAAAAATACCGAATTGGTAAACTGTAAGTAACATTTAGCAGACTAGGCTGAAAAATTATATAGTATATGAAAAAAAAAAGAACTATTACAAGTAGAGACACAATATAACTAATTTGTCAGTCATGCAACCTAATTTCACCTCTAAAATTATTCCATAAAATGAATGACAACACGAGGCGTTGGTCGACGCCATGTCAACACACTTCGTGATACCATAACAACGAAATATCGTATTACTTATCAAGTAACGAGACCAGGCTGCTGATAAAATTATTTTCGTTTTTGTCTCGTGTTAGCTTTCTTTAGCTATTTTTTGTTTTTTTTTATTTTAATTTAAAATCGGAATACAAAAAAATATATCCATTGTAAAATTACTTTAACGTTAAAAAATGACTAAAATAATTTTAGTCATTTTTTAACGTTACAGCGGAAATAAACTACGTACTTTAAACCAATTTTTAAACCTAAATTAAGTTCAGTAGCTCAAACAAAATTAATTAAAAAATCGCAACAATTTTTAGCTAGCAACTGCTAAGAATTACACTACAGACATTTTTAAACAATTACAAAGAAAAAGACCAAGATTTTTAGTTTTAATTCAATTAAAATAATAAAAACAATGCCGAAAAACGTATTGATTTTTTTTAACCGAATTACTAACCATCATTTTTACTTTTACAGTTTTATCTTTCTTACATCTTTATTTCAATTGCTTTTTATCCCAACTCTCGGACTGTTATTCTACAAACGTGTTTAAAAAGCATGGATCTCTTTCACTTTAGTAGTTTCCCGATGCAGACTACTTTTTCAATTCTTTAACGTTCACAGACAACAACCATCGAAGTGTTGCAATAAAAAGTAACAGAAATAAAATGAAAGATATAATTTTTTAAAAATAATCCAAAGGCTGTTGAATAATTATTTATTGAACAATAAAAAAGAAAGCATCTGATTGAAAATCATTTCTAGCAGCTCTATTTTTTTTTTTTTTTTAAGAATTGAAAGTGAATTATTCCGTTTCACCTCACTTCCAGGAAGGAAACACAAGAGGTAAAAAAAAAAAAAAAAACGTAACATGCACAGTAAAAATTTTAAAAAATAAAACCAACACAATATATTTCATTTAACATTAAACATAATTAAAATTTACCTGGCCAAGGCATTTAAAGGTCCGGTACTCTTCCTAGATTTGTAACATAGTAACCTCTCAATATTTTGAATATTCCCTGTTCGAGCCGCCTCCAACAGTTCGTTTTCCTTCCCCATATTTTGATGTTTTAGATAGGAGATACCTATATCTATATATCTATATATATAGATATGTATATTTAGACGTGTTCGTATAGAAATGTGATTTTCTTTTTCTCCAACTACTTTCACTTTCCTAAAGAGGGCTCCTGCCCGGCGTATTCCAGTTTTGTTTTGTATGCAATAACCACAGCCAATATTTGGAACATCACCAAGAAGATTGCTGGAAATTATTGTTAGGAAATAATTAAAATTTATCTTTGTAAAATATCACTGTCATTGTTATTTTTTTTTTCGTTTCTGGTATATTTCGTCTTTCTTCTTTCTGTGACAGTGTCAGAATTGTGATTGATACTGAAACATGCGTTGTGTACATATCGCCCCCTCCTTGCTGGTCAGATATTGTTTTCTGTGGTTTTTCAGTCTTTTTCCGACTGGGTCGGTGGTATAAGAAAATCAAGTACCAATTGTTGGTATTGTATTTGTCTTCGGACCAGCAAGACTGGATGCGTTTGTTCTTTTAGCCTTAAAGAAGCCATGGCTTTTCTTTCCATAATTCGACAATAGAGGGAAAGAAAGAAGAAGTTGTTACAGTACTACTAGAATTTTACTTACCACCGCTACATTTTTATATAACGTTCCTAGTCTATATTTATATTTCCATCGCTTTTTCCTGTTCTTCTTTCTTTCTTAAACTCTCATTTTAAAAAATAAAGTATCGATTAACAAATCAAGGTTAACGCGATAGATCCAGTCAGTAATTAAATTGGCTTTTTTTCTTTATATCGAAAAGTAAGTGAAAATATATTGTCTTTTTTTTTATTTATTATTTATTTAACAAATTAAAACAAATATATAGGCAAGTGGTTGTTGTAGCAGCAACATCAGAGTAAAGGGCAACGGAGGGAAAGCCTAAAGTAAACCATCATTCTCTCTCTACGAATTTGAGAAATTCTGCATATATTAAAGATATATATATGTTTGATATGTTTAAAACGAATTTCACATATGTTGCTTTAATGATCAATGGTTGTGTGTGTATGCATGCATGTATATATGTACCTATGTATGTGTGTATGTGAACATAACACTATTATTAAGAAGGCGATGTAGTATTCGGGTAAGTTAGTCAATTGTAAATTCCATGCTTTTTAACCACATTTTTTTCTCTTTTTTTGGTGTATCTCGACTCCAACAACACGATTGAAATAAACATCATCTTTCTTTTTCATCTTTCTCCTCCTTTTCTTTTCTGAATTTTTTTCTTTCTTTCTTTTTTTTTCTTATTTTTTTTAGGAAAAGAAACAAATATTTACGGTAAGAAAAGCCAACATTCACACAGAAAAAAAGAAAAGAAATCTTTTTTTTTTTTTTTTTTTTTTTTTCTTTCCAGCGAAAGAGAGGATTGCTGTCTGCTAAGAAGGAGAATAATCAGTCGAGTGGTTGGTTAATCAAAGTATTTAACAATAATAATACTAATAATAAACACGGGTAATTTTAAACATAATAATCCAGATCAAGTGTAGATGTGAGCATTAATTCAGGGACAGACAGGTCGAGTCAGAAGGAGAAAAAAAAAAAAAAAAAGACAGTATATTACAACAGCAGCAGTTGGTGATTTGGTAATTGTACATAGAAGATTGCGCCTTGTACCGCTACTTCCTTATTGTAATGAAGAAGGAGGAGGAGGAACATGGGGAACCTGTTCGATTGTAGCGCCATCTACGGGGGCTGTTAGTATTGATTTCGTCACTTCCGCTCCGGTGTGGGTCTGGTGTGGTCCGCAGCCCGGTCCGGTCTTGTTCAACCCGGTAATAATAATAATAATAATGCTTAAGTTGGAAAGTGTTGTGGTTTGAAGATGATGATGTTGATTTCTAAACGTGTTTGTTTGTTTCTCTCTCTCATTCATATATGTATATATCCCTCTATTCATAATTATTTTTATCTATCTATTTATATTCCTATCGATCAATCAACCGCTCTATCTACCTATATTCATATCTATCTATCTATCTATCTATCTATCTTCCTTCATATCTATCTTCCTTCATATCTATCTATCTATCTATCTATCTATCTATCTATCTTCATATCTATCTATCTATCTATCTATCTATCTATCTTCCTTCATATCTATCTTCATATCTATCTTCCTTCATATCTATCTATCTATCTATCTATCTATCTATCTATCTATCTATCTATCATATCTATCTTCATATCTATCTTCCTTCATATCTGTCTATCTATCTATCTATTCATCTATTCATCTATCTTCCTTCATATCTATCTTCATTCATATCTATCTATCATATCTATCTATCTATCTATCTATCTATCTATCTATCTATCTATCTATCTTCATATCTATCTATCTTCCTTCATATCTATCTATCTATCTATCTATCTATCTATCTATCTATCTATCTATCTATCTATCTATATTCATATTAGACCATGGTAATTTTTCTCATGACCTTTGCTTTATGGTACCCAGACTTTATGGATTTAGACACAGTACTAGATTGGTAACAAGGTCTCATGATTCTACAGTTGAATTGGCTATATGCAACCATAAGTTCTATGCTAACAGTTTCTTTTCTTGCATTTCTTGCTTGTAGAAACTCTCTTCCAGCTTCTTGTTTTCTAGCCATTTTTGATCTTCAAAAATTTAAATGCAATGTCAATTGTTATCTTCTCTCTTCTTAATTCTTGTTCTTTTATTGTTCTCTCTCCTTAATAATGTTTTCTTTTTCTCATATTCTTTCACACTCAATAACCCCTAGCATCTTAGTGGCTTTATTGCCTTGCTTGGGGTATAATGATTAAAAAAGAAAATATATATATATATATATTCTCTTGCAGACTTTTATTGGACAAATGGCTGATGTGAAATGCCAAGTTGGTCACCCTCTCTTTCATTTGAGGTACAAACCTTATGACAATTTAAAAAGATGTGTAATATCAGTAGATACCTGGGATCATCGGGGAACAAATCATTAAAAATGGAGGTCAACATGTTTTAACAAAGCCAAGGCTTCTGAAAGAATGAGACATGAACACTATGATGAACCAGTGGTGTAGCTAGGGGGGGCAGGGGCAAACCGCCAATTGGTTTTAAAGTTAATCCACTGTGATGAACTGTGGGCTAACTTGAAATCTTGTCACATAAACGTTCCCGAAGCAAATTTTGTTTGTCACTGTGGTTTTCTGGCATGAAGCAAGGCTGAATTCAGCCATGAAAAGAGACAGGTAGTTCCAGCACATGATGTTCACACCTGTCCCTAATAGGATAAAGCCTTCAAGAATGAGAAAGGCCTAAATGTCTATATGAAAACAAATTTTATATATATATATATATATATATATATATATATATAATCAATCAATCAGATGGTCATACCTGTCTCCAATATGATAAATTTGTAAGAATGAGAAAGGCCTAAAAAAAATATATGAGAACTCATATATATGTATAATATCAATCAATCAGATGGTTACACTTGTCTCTGATGGAATGAAGTTTGCAAGAATGACAACTTATTATATATATATATATATATATATATGTATATATATATATATATATATATATATATTGATCCACAAAAAAAATTTATCTTTTTTGTATCACAGCTCATCAGCTAGACATCTGATTGCTTCAAGCCAAGATCGAAACTTGATTTGGCGTCAATCAGAGACTCTATCAGTGCACAGCAGAGAAAGGGAATCTTCTAACGTATTATATATGTGATGTATACAAATGCCCAATCAGCTGCTGAGAGTGCTCAATTCATAACTGGAGAGCAATACATTAATAGCAGCAGCAGCCACTCCTGAAAATTTTCCTTCTCTATAGTGCTCAATCACTTGAACGAGGAATCATATTCTTGTTGAAATGGGATAATGTCTACAAGAATGAGAAATGCCTAAAGAACCATATGAAAATTCATTTGATATATATATATACAGTGGAACCTCGGTTTACAAATTTAATTCATTCCTGAAGTCTGTTCATAACCCAAAATGTTCATAAACCAAAACTATTTTTCCAATGAGAATCAATGTAAAATAGATTAATCCGTTCATGTTCCCAAGATGATTGCTTATTTAAACTTTAACAACGGTACTTTGTGCACAAGTTTGTACACAAAACTAATGAAAATCGTTAAATCTAAGGAAAAAATTTAAACCCAATACTAAACAGATAAAATATAGATGAACCCTTTAATATTTCTGTACCTGTATGTAGAAGAGTTGATGGCGTAAATGGAAGGGGAAGGAAAGAGATGTTATTGTTTGGAAAAGGGAAGGAAAGATATGGTCGTCTCTTTATTTATAAGAATAATATAGATCATTGATTTTTGCCATATGAAACTTAGTAAGAACAGAATTATCATCAACAATTGTTTTTCTCTTAACTTTTCTTTTTCCTTTACCATTATCACTGTTAGCTTTCTTTGGAGCCATGACTGAGGACAAATGAAGAGAAAAAAAGGCACAGAAGAGGCATCTCAAATATTCTATTCAATAACTGAGGCATCTCTAATATTCTATTCAAACTGAATAATTTGTTTTGACATGTGAGGCTTTCAAGAACTGAATATATATATATATATATATAAATATATATATATATATATATATATATATATATATATATATATATATATATATAGTGCAACCTCAGTTCTTGAAAGTCTCACATGTCAAAACAAATCAGTTTTTTTTACTTGTTTAAGTTTTTTTTTTTTTTGACTTGGAGCTAAAACACTGGATGATTGTTGAACCTTTGTTTTAATGTTCTTGGTTCTTTCTTTGTTTTATTCCATATTTTTCCTCAGGTACTGATTTGTTCTACTACACAGAAATATATATAATCATCATAATATATATATATATATATATATATATATATATAGATATAGAATCAATCAATCCGATGTTCAGACCTGTTCTGAATGAAAAAGTTTGCAAGAATTGCACACATAAAGAAGTTTAATGAGAACTTTATTAATAGAAGATATGAAAAGAATATATCATATATATATATAATATCAGAAATATATATATATTTAAATAAATATATATATATATTTATATTTTGTTGGTATACCATTCATATATATTTACTTCTTTTTATAAATATTACTATATATATATATGTATATATATATATATATGTATATGTATATATATATATATATATATATATGAATATAATATATATATATGAAATTGAAAAATATAAAAAAGGAAAGTCACCATTGTCCCATTGAACATTGAATAAAAAAACTTTTTTCAATAAAACAAATGATATAAACTTAGGCATTTTTTGTGACCTACTCAAAATTTTAAGGATAAATTACAAATATCCTAATATTTTAAAACCACTGTTTAAACAATCTTATTGATCATAATTTCGAATAAAAGAAAAGAATGGACTAAATATCAATATATATATAAATTCATAGGATTCAATTATGTGCAAAACAAAATTTGTAATTTGGATAACACAGCAAAAGTTTTTTTCATTTACTTCAACCTCAAGATATATTTCAACATTTAGTAATATATTGCTCATTTTTAAATTCTAAAATTATTTCAACGTGTCAAAAATTTAAATCTCTTGAAAAAATATGATTTTAAAGGAGTTTAGGTTATTTTTTATAATTTTTTTAGTTTTATCAGTTTATATTTTGTGTTTTTAGAATTATGGTGACAATTTCTAGGTATGAAAATTAGGGACTTTTAACAGTTTTATATATTCTTATTGGGCTTAAAGAATCTGCAAAAACATACATATTTTTTCAATCTTTTAAAAAATTTTTTCTACAAATGGAAAAATTATAACATTTTAAAAAAATTTTTTATTTATTTTTTAGGAATGAATTATTTTTTCATTTTAAGTTTTTTTAAAACAACAAAATGATTTTAAACCAGCCCAACCTATGGTTTTCAGAAAATATAAACATCTCAGAATTATTTGATTAAAATTTCAGCTCTTTTAAAATTTGAAACATTTTGAGCATACATTAAATGGGTTTAATCATGTAAGATAGTGATTACAAAACGGTCACCCAAAGAGAAAACCATGGAATTTTGATCATCTTTTTAGGTTGTAAATTTGATTGTAGTTTTCAAGTGGTTGTTTATAAGGATGTAATGCTATTTTTTAACTAACATTTTAAGTAAAATAATTTTCTTTATTTATTTATATATAAAAAACACATAGGACATAAAAATATAGTTATATGGTTTTAAATTAAGCATTGTAATTATAGAATTAAAAATTCATGCATGTCAACCAAATTTTTTATCTATGTATATATATATATAATGTATGTATATGTATATATATATATATATATGTATGAATATATATGTATATATATATATATATATATATATATATATATATATATATTTATATTTATTTATATATATATATATATATATATATATATATATATATATGTATGTATGTATATATATCCTTATATATATTTATTATATATATATATATATATATTTATATATATATATATATATATATATAATATTATATATATGATATATAAAACATATATATATATATATATATATATATATATAGATATAATGAAATGGATCTTGTTCATTATTTTTTATTTATGTTTAACCAATGGAATAGATACAAATTTGAAACGTAAATTTCTGTTTATAATAAAAGTATTCAGGTTTAAATGTTACTTTTACTGTTTTTTTTTATAAAACAGACAATTTGTTTAAATATTTGTATTATTCATAAAAGAATGTATAAAAAATATATATATATATATATATATATATATATATATATATATATATATATATATATATATATATATATATAATAATAATTTTATATTTATCAAGACAACTTTTGGTAAAAAAGTTCATGAATTTTTGAAGTTTTGTTTAAAATCATTTGAATAAACCATTTTTCAATTTAAAATTTTGTCTGTAGCTGTGGTTGCTTGAAAGATTAAACAAGGCTTTAGGTGCCAGTCATGAATAGAGACATGTAGTTACCCCAGATGATGGTGGCTTACAGCCATATCACATTGAAACACAGTTCCCTGTAGTATCGCCAAAGTTAAGCAACATTGAGCATTGTCAGTACCGAGATGGGTGACTGCTTGGAAATACAAGGTTGGATTTGTGGGTGATATAATGTATAATGGCTTGGAATTATTAATCAAGTTCCAATTCCAGTTGTGTTCATTATATTGACTTGGACCACTAAATCATTATTATCTCCAAAAATAAAAAAAAGTCCTTACAATCTAAAAATACTTTCTAGCTTTACATAACCTGCAAAGTGTTGATAAGTTGTAGAAAATGAATGAATGAATCGATCAGATGATAGGATTACCCCAATGGCATAATCCCAATGAGATAAAGTCCCCAAGAATGAGAAAGGTATAAAAAACCAGAAAGAGA